AATTTTGGTAATTATGTTATTTTAGAATTTTATATTTACCATATGTGAACTGTGTATGTGACATTACTTTATAATTTTTTCTATTATATGTATTTGTTTACATATGTTGAATTTGTTGTGCATAATCTTTTCTTGTCATGTTTATGTCATGTCTGTTGATGTAGACCGTTTATGTAACTGTCGTGAGGTCATTCTACACAATGTGTGTGTCAAATAACTGGTGAAGATCTGGGTTGTCCTCAGCAACCCATGATTGTCTCTCTGTGAAGATCACCGGGTTAGAATTGGGCATCAGCAACCCATGGTTGTCTCCCTGTGAAGATCTGGGTTAGAATTGGTCCTCAGCAACCCATGGTTGTCTCCCTGTGAAGATCTGGGTTAGAATTGGTCTTCAGTAACCCATGGTTGTCTCCCTGTGAAGATCTGGGTTAGAATTGGTCTTCAGCAACCCATGGTTGTCTACCTGTGAAGATCTGGGTTAGAATTGGTCTTCAGCAACCCATGGTTGTCTACCTGTGAAGATCTGGGTTAGAATTGGTCTTCAGCAACCCATGGTTGTCTCCCTGTGAAGATCTGGGTTAGAATTGGTCCTCAGCAAGCCATGATTGTCTCCCTGTGAGCATCTGGGTTAGAATTGGTCCTTAGCAACCCATGGTTGTCTACCTGTGAAGATCTGGGTTAGAATTGGTCTTCAGCAACCCATGATTGTCTCCCTGTGAAGATCACCGGGTTAGAATTGGTCCTCAGCAACCCATGATTGTCTCCCTGTGAAGATCACCGGGTTAGAATTGGTCCTCAGCAACCCATGATTGTCTCCCTGTGAAGATCACCGGTTAGAATTGGTCCTCAGCAACCCATGATTGTCTCCCTGTGAAGATCACCGGGTTAGAATTGGTCCTCAGCAACCCATGATTGTCTCCCTGTGAAGATCTGGGTTAGAATTGGTCCTCAGTAACCCATGGTTGTCTCCCTGTGAAGATCTGGGTTAGATTTGGCCTTCAGCAACCCATGATTGTCATAAGAGGCTACTAACGTGATCAGGCACGGTGACTTTATGTGTGTTTATCCTGTTTGCTAATATGGACGCTCTAATGTCAGTTGTTTGGTGGGGTAGCCAAGTGGGTAGAGGGTTTGTTGGTTACACTGAAGAACTGTTTACGATTCCCCACGTGGGTACAAAGTATCAAGCCCAATTCTGTGATTTCTGGCGTGCCCCGCTGTGATGTTGCTGGAAAATTGCTAAAAGCAGCATAAAACCATACTCACTCACTCACTCTGATAAACCTGCAACCACAATCCATTACACATCAAATTATACAAGGAAATGTTGAGATAGGATTTGTTGACATGTCAGTGTTTTTATGCATCACTTAGCACTGTACAGTATACAGGGTGATTCACTTAAACAAAGTATTTATACGGATTTCTCAGTTACTTTCGATTAAATTACAATTTTCATAATGATTAGAATGACATATTAAAGAGATTACATTTGTGTGTAGCAGTATTGAGGTTTCATATGTTACAATGATATGATATGTACTGTCTGCCACTGACTCGCATAATACAATATGCTTGCCTGAAACTTGATACTTATGGTATTGAGACATGTGCTAATCTCAATGTATATCAGACTAACAGAATCGGGTGGTCAGGCTTACTGACTTGGTTGACATATGTCGTATCCCAACTGCGTAGATTGATGCTCATGCTGTTGATCAATAGGTTGTCTGGCCCAGACTCAATTATTTACAGACCGCCGCCATATAAGTGGAATACTGCAGAATGTGACGTAAAACTAAACTCACTCACACACTCAATGTATTTCAAGGACACGAAGCTGCTAACGAGTTTCACTCTTGCTAGTCTTGCTTTACAGATGTTTTCACCATTTCCCCTCACTTCGTTTGAGTAAAACTGTCAGGGATTCTCTGTAACAAACAGAACTATGGATGATGAAACATCAGAAATCTAGTCATTTTTACCGGATATCGGGTAACACAAGGAAGGCATGAACAGATGTTTCAGTATTTCTAGTACTTCAGATAGGTCTAGCATAGTTTTATTGTTGTCGCCAATAGAAATGTGTTGACCGGTTATGAGGGTATAGCATAGTAATAGTGTCATACTGGTAAATATTTGACTTTTTAAGTTTGTGATTGTACACAGTTGGTGATCAGTTAGGAGAGAATCAATCCATGTTGTTAATGTTATTAAATCACCCTTGGAGATCGATTACCTCTTAGGGACTGGTTATTTATGATAGCTGATGACTTCCTACATAGAGTAATATTTCTTTTAACCTCCCACCTTTATAATACCTGAGCCAGTCCATGGGTGGATCCAGGAATTTTGAAACGGGTAGGGTGGGGTGTTCAGCCCCATTGGCTCTGCCAACACAAAGAAAATCTTCAATGAGGTCTTAAGTCATTTTCAAAAGGGAGGGGTGGTGGTGGTTTTGAACCCCTGAACAACACATCCCCTTCTGATCCACCAATGCAGTCTCCATCTATGATAAATGATTATCCCACCTAGCTATTTGATACGTACCCAGCCCACCCACCTCTATGGAAGATGACCGACCCACCCACCTCTAAGGAAGATGACCCACCCAGCCATTCCCGGAGAAATTGGAATAACTATCCTTGTAATTTATCAAACACATTATCCTCACTACCTCCGTAATAAATTACCAGCCCTGGCAAATAATCAATCCCAGCCCACCTATCGCTTCACACAAAAATAGCTCTGTGGTAAACGATAAGCCGATCTGGATGTACCTGTCGTTAATAGCAAGTATGTCTTCTTTAAGGTTTTATTTATATTCATGATTATGTCTGGTAACACAAATTCTGATGTTGTACGAATTTAATTTATTGGATGATGTCATTCATTGGAGCAATAACCCTGAAATGAAGGGTAGTTATGTTTGAAAACAATGAGAAAAATAGTTCTTTGAAAATAAATTCATGAATAATAACTATGTTTTGTTAGATCTGTCTTTTATCTTAAGAAAGTTTAGAAGATTTATACTCATAAGAAAGTTTAGAAGACTATCTCAAGGTTTTGCATTTGGTAAAACGAATGTTTACATTCATTTTCAATCACTATCTCAGAGGCACTACACTTAAAATTTGAAAGATCCAGGTTACAGATTGATCTTCAGTAAATGATTGTCCTAAGAGGCGACTAACAGGATCAAGAGGCACGCTGACACTTATCGACGTATCCCATTTGCGCAGATGATTCTCATCGATCACTGGATTGTCTGGTCCAGACTCGATTATTTACATACAGCAGCCATATAGATGGAATATTTCTGAGTTTGACGTTAAACAACAAACCAACCAACCAGTATGAATCGAGATGAAATTGACTCGCCAAATTATTCCACATGTCCATGTGGAGCTGTGGCAAGGTGGCTAACTTGGCCAGAAAGATAAAAACACACATTAGTTAGTCCCGACGAGCACAAACAAGTCGCTATGTAAATGCAAGAATCTTGAGATCCGGGGCTTCATTATGACCTCTGACCCATATGAATAGTTCCTTCAATCATCAATAATGAAAAATTCAGAAATTTCTTTGAACTGTTTTATTATATCTAACACAACTAAACCAGAGACCATATAATAGATATATTATATGGTCTCTATACACTAAAACATTGAAAATGTTTTTCAAAAAAGAACTTGAAATGGATATTATGTATATCATGGTATATTGACCGTGGGATTAGCTGAGGCACGTGCATCTGTCTGCCCTGTAACTTGTGTGTGTAAGTCACGGCACATTGCGAGACCTTACGGTATTTAGTACTTCCGATGACAAACAACGTTTCATACCTTTTCGAAGGGTCTCATGGTTGTCAGCTGACAGTGAGGTACCGATAATCCTTGCAGGAATAATACATTTCAGCTGTGACAGCCAAGCATAGTTGTACACTTGGTCCGGTCTAGTAAAGTCAAATTTGGCGGTCGCACAATTAGGAACCAAAACTTCTTTTGAATATACGCTTGTCACCGGAAGCTGGGTACCGGAAGTAGCACTTCGAGAGACTCACGGGCCCTTACGTTCCACCAAGAGCAAACAGCGTATATCATACAAGGGGCGGATCAGGATATTGAGAAGAGGGTGCACATAAATCATGAAATCAAAGGTTAGAGGAAAATTCTCTCTCTGGGGTCTGGGTCTGTGTGTGGTGTGGATCCGCCCAACGGTGAATAAAGACATATTGGAGAGCGATTAGAATCATGAAATTGTTACTATACATGTGGATCAATAGAAGTATTTGTATCAGTTACTGAATGTGTCGATGCATTGAATCTTTCGGATGCTGTTGGTGTCACAATTCTTAAATAAGAATATGTTTTCCTCGCATGAAATACATTTAGTACGACTCATTTAGTGTCTACCTGCTCGGTACACTTCTACCTAACCTCAGTGGATACAGATGTTCAGTTGTTTCTCGGTGCATGGATGTCCTGTACACAAGGTGCCTTCATATCGCTTGTTTCTGTCTGAGAAGGGGAATGGTTCATTCTGGCATTGTGCTCAGCTCTATATGTATCGTACAAAGTTATATCGACGCATTTAGGGAGAAATTATCTTAATCAAGCAATCAACCAAGCAATCATACATGATTTCGTCTCTCTTTCTATCATGACATTACATCAGACACATGATGGCACATGTGTTGTTTTATTTGTTTAAGTTTTCACTTATCTGCATATGTATCGTACAAAGTTATATCGACACATTTGGGGAGAAATCTTTCTCAGTCAATCCAATCAATTGATTTTGCTTTGCTATGAGTTCTTGCGTACATGCCATAGCATTTCGATCTTATTATAAAACACATCCTGAAGGTATTCAAAGACGATATATACATTACTTCGCGCCTATTTCAGTGAGATTATGTTCATAAGTGTTTCTTCAAGAAGGCCTTCAGATCTGCCAGTGCCCGTAGGCTTCTTGCGCACATGTCGCAGTATTTTGACCTTTACTACAATATACCTTGTGATGGCAATCAAAGACCTACTTCAGTGGAGACTTCGTTCATAAGTGTTTCTTCAAGAAGACCACTAGATCCACCAGTGCCCGTTTGCCAACTTCAAATGGTATTGGTCCATCAAAAAAGAAAATCATTCCATGGAAACCTTCCTTATAATGCGCCAGATGTACGTCCACGCCTGCCTCCTTCAATCGCTGCGCATATATAAGTCCATCGTCGCGCAGCACGTCATATCCGGCGGTTAACACATAGGTCAAAGGTAAACCTCTGTACTCCGCGTTATCGGCCATCAATGGCGCGAAGTATGGGTCAAGGACAGTGCCTTCAATTGTCGAAAAAAGGTTTTCGTTTCCGAAATCGGTGGGTTTAGAGGGTGACTTCAAACTCTCAGTCCTGATATGCTCCTTCATGTAGTATTTCGGACTAATCCTTTCCGCGTATTTCGACTTTTTGACAGCAGATGAGGTGTGCCTGTTGGCGAGGATGTCGTCCATATGGTCGTAGCTGATGTTGCCGTAGTTCAGCCAGTAGGACAACATGGAGACGTCGTTCAGCATTCCCGGGATGTACATCCTGTTCTCGATGTAGGATGGAGTCTGGAGATCCAGCAGCTGTAGACAGGGATATATCGAAACTTGGATCTTCATCTTCTTCAGGCGGAGGCCCACAGCGGCAGTCAGATGTCCTCCGGCGCTGTCACCAGATATCGCTACTCGGGTCGGATCTAAATTCAGCTTGACGGCGTTGTTTAAAACGGCGGTGAGGCAGTCTTCAAAAGGGACTGGATGAGCATGCTCGGGAGACTGACGGTATCTGTGAAAGAAAACTAAATGTTTTGTGTGACACTGATACATTGTCGACCATCTGTCGAAGACGCCACAATTTGCATACAGAATTGCCTCCTTTGAGCAGACCAGGAACCTATGATCGTCGGTTCGAATCCCGGTTTGTAGTACAGAATCTGTGCTCGTAGCAAGTAGCATACGTGGGGCTGTCACGTTAATCTGACACGCTGAAATAACATGGAATGCTATTATGTTAAAATCCAGCTCCATCTATCAGCCCTATGCCCTTAAATGCCCGGGGTGCCGTACCACTAACCGACCTTATCTAAGATCAATCTTAGCAAGTTACGCCAATTTTACAATCGTCTTAGCTAAAAGTTACACCCGTTCCACTAACCGATTTTAGGCCGATCGTAGCCGGTCCCGATCTTACGATCCCATCCAGGTTTAGATCGAGACTCTTTCGTGCGAGAGATAGAGGAATGCGAGGCACGAGTTATCTCCCTTTGCATAGTCTCGCAAATGCTGGAAGTAGTTTACGAACCAACTGAGTGAGTGAGTGAGTTTAGATTTACACCGCACTCAGCAATAGTCCAGCTATATGGCGGCGGTCTGTAAATAATCTAGCTAAGATGCATAGCGTTCACTAACGTTCATGTTAGGGAACGCTATGTATCTTAGCTATAAATAATCTAGTCTGGACCAGACGATCCAGTGATCAACAGCATGAGCATCGATCTGCGCAATTGGGAACCTATGACATGTGTCAACCAAGTCGGCGAGCCTGACCACCCGATCCCGTTAGTGGCCTCTTACGACAAGCATGGGTTATTGAAGTTCAATATTCTAATCCGGGCCTTCATGGGTCTTTTTCCAACCAAGTGTAAACGCGGAGAAAAAACCTAGAGCAAAATATTAGGGTAGTGAGCACCTTGGTTTCAGGTGCAAGTGCGTTCGAACGCTGGGTATCAAGCATACTATAATAATAATAATAAATGCATATTTAGTGCGCCTATTCCATATCCTTGGGCATGCTCAAAGCGCTGTGTACAGATAATTTACACGAGAATATTTGCAGCCGAGATTATAAGTAATATACTGAGAACAGGTTTTACAAAATGTCAATTGTGTCAGAGCTTTTAATATGTGCCTGAACCTTGTCAGTCAGAATAAACAAGGCGTGACGAGGCTATGACGTATGTAGAATCTGTCAGTGGTCTTGAATAACACGCGGCCTGCCTTTAGAATCCCCCACCAAATATGCGCAGTGAAATCAAGCATATTTGTATCTTTTTGCTTCAGAACATTGTTCACTTCACGGCTGTCCCTATTCTTAACCATGACGTTGCAATATTGTTGTACAAATGTGTTACACCGACTCGCTCGGTTGTGTTCCCATGACGACAGTGGTCAGACTGGCCTGACATTTGTAAGGCTTCAGTGCAGTGTTTGTTTACATCACAGAAATATACAACTTCATTACATGGAGGATTTTAGGGGACGCTCACGGTGAAATGCTCGCTCTTATTTTTCACATAGAATAGGAAAGCTCCCATTTTGGTTTCTCTACGATTGATTTTAGCTATCCTAAGTTGGTCATGAGCAACTTAGACTTTGAATCTTAACTTTACGATTGACTTAGGTAAGATTGGTTAGTGGAACGGTATGCCGATCGTAACGTCACGCTAAGATTGGGATTTTAGGGGTTTACGATTGGCATAGGGCTAAGATTGGTTAGTGGAACGGCACCCAGTATGATTATACAAGACGAAACACAGGGCTACATGGACCACCCTGTGACATATTAGTGCTTTAGGTGAGTTTTAGGACACCAACACACATAAGCTTCCAAAAAGTTTTGAAAAGATATGCATTTGACCTTGCCCCGTGAAAATGGAATATACTGTATGGTTTTCCCCTTTCAAGATGGTGGCACTTAAGACAATGACTGCGGATAAGGGACGTTTACCGTACTTACCCTACTGACACCACCACCATGGACACTCTCTTGGCCAGCTCCCTCATTGTCGGGTCGTACACATCTGGAAACATCATCAACTCATAATGGCCTTTGTTTTGTTTGCTGTTTACACTCAGCAACATTCCTGTTATGCGAATTCTTCACTTAACACGTGACCTCATTATGTCACGATGAGTTGTCTTTCCGAAGCCAGTGTACTACCAATAAGGATCCCCATGTGCGAATATATTAAGCATCTTGTTATTGAAGTAACGCTCGGGGTAAAAATTGGAAGACAACCAACAACTGATTCAGTAACAGAGGCCTTTTGTGCTCAAATTCAAAACCAGTACCACTCACCATCACGTCTTGTGTCATGTGCCATGTGTCATGTGTCATGGTGACAGGTGAGATGTAAACTACCAATAGACAGCCAGGACCATCCACCATCACGGCTTGTGTCATGTGTCATGGTGACAGGTGACTTGTAACCTACCTATAGACAGTCAGGACAATCCACCATCATGTCTTGTGTCATGTGTCATGGTGACAGGTGAGTTGTAACCTACGTATATACAGCCAGGACCATCCACTATCATGACATGTGTCATGGTGACAGGTGAGTTGTAACCTACCTATAGACAGCCAGGACCATCCACCATCACGTCTTGTGTCATGTGTCATAGTGACAGGTGAGTTGTAACCTACCTATATACAGCCAGGACCATCCACTATCACGGCATGTGTCATGGTGACAGGTGAGTTGTCACCTACCTATAGACAGCCAGGACCATCCACCATCACGGCTTGTGTCATTTCTCATGTGTCATGGTCACAGGTGAGTTGCAACCTACCTATATACAGCCAGGACCATCCACCATCACGTCATGTGTTATGTGTCTTGTGTCATGTGTCATGGTGACAGGTGAGTTGTAACCTACCTATATACTGCCAGGACCAGCCACCATCATGTCTTGTGTCATGTGTCATGGTGACAGGTGAGTTGTAACCTACCTATAGACAGTCAGGACCATCCACCCATCACGTCATGTGTCATGGTGACAGGTGAATTGTAACCTACCCTTTATACTGCCAGGACAAGCCACCATCATGTCTTGTCATGTGTCATGGTGACAGGTGAGTTGTAACCTACCTATAGACAGCCAAGACCAGCCACCATCACGTCATGTGTCATGGTGACAGGTGAGTTGTAACCCATCTATAGAGACAGCCAGGGCCATCCACCATCACGGCTTGTGTCATGTGTCATGGTGACAGGTGAGTTGTAACCTATATACAGCTAGGACCATCCACCATCACGGCTTGTGTCATGTGTCATGGTGACAGGTAAGTTGTTGTAACCTACCTTGGAAGACACACTCTACACATGTGGGAAATCAAACCCGGTTTTCGGTGTGATGAGCGAACGCTTTAATCACTAGGGCCACCCCATCGCCCCCAAAACAAAACCAAACCTACCAGTTTTCCATGAGTCCTGAGTGCAGCGTCCAGGATCCTGGCGTTCCACACTTCCTGCACGCCCTCGGGAACAGACGTGTCCAGGTAGCGGAACAAGCCAAACGCCAGGTAGGCGGCCACTGTGTCCGTCAGCAGGTGCCAGTACGCCCATCTTGATAATGAAAACCTGCGTCATAAAACAACATGCCATGATTTCATCTCTAGGTTTGGCAGTACGTTGGCTTTGTGGATTCCACTAAAGTGTAACACATCTTATGTTTGGGATTACACTTTCCAAGTAAAGTACAAATGGAAGCCGCGGGTTGACTGGGTTAGACGGCTGACTTGGAGTGAATGAGTGAGTGTTTGACTTTAAGGGTGTGGGTTCGAATCTCGTAATTCTGAAATGTTTTGTTCGGAGAGGTGGATAGGCCTTGCCTGTTCATCATCCCCATTCCATTCAGGAAATAAATCACGTCTTCCATCTGTGTCTACAAATCCGTATATAACAGTAGGCATTTAAATGGACACTGACTGCAACTGTGCCGTATGAAATATATAATAAGTCATTTTACCGCCTGCTGTTAAAAAGTTGAATTATGTGGACGAAAAAATTAAGTCGTACAAAATCCAATCTTTATTTCAAAGACGTTAGTGTACCAATGATAAGAGTAAGACTTAGACTGTATGGAACACGAATAAATATACTGAACATCATTGAAAACGCACCACCTGTAAATTTTGAAATATGGTAATAGGATTGTTTTGAGAGTGAAAAATTAACGTTGGAAATGTTGTTAATAACACAAAACAATACATAATGCTGTACAGTAAAGAACGGATTGCCCGAACATTATTATGGAACACATCACATGACAACAACAAAAATTCATGCACTACACACATGAAAAGCACAAATTGCATGCGTAAAACATGCTGATTTAGGGTATAAATGACCGTCGGCAAAACCGTTCTCATTTTAGCTGTACCTCCGCAAGTAAAGTTTATTTTGCAATGCCAAGATTGTCACCAGAGGAACGAGAACGGGCGTTGGGCATGTTGCAGGTTGGCACATCAAGCAGGATTATTGTCAGACGATTTGGTTGCCATCTTTCCACCATCATAAGACTTGCCAACAGGTACCAACAAACAGGAACCACCAGGGACCGCCAATGTCCTGGCCAGGCATCGTGTTACCTCCCCTCGCCAAGATCGAGGCATTGTTTGGCGCCATATTCGGGATCGTATGTTGCCGGCTGCCAGAACCGCCAACGCTGTCCAAGGCCGACGTGGTTTGATCAGTACTTCCACCTTCCGACGCTGCCTCCGTGCGGCAGGATTACGGTGTCGACGACCTTATGTTGGACCCATCCTGACTTCGCCGTGAACGCCGACGATGGGCTGAACAGCATCGTTTGTGGTTGTTACGACGTTGGCATGGTGTTGTGTTCTCCGACGAGTCACGTTTTCACTTACGAAATGCTGACGGGCGTCTACGGATATGGCGTCGACGGGGAGAACGTTACCATCAGGACTGTGTAGTGCAAACAGATCGGTGGGGTGGAGACAGGATTATGACAGACAGACAGACAGACAGACAGATATATAGTTTATTAACGATTACATGAAATATAATACACAATATGCATAGTAAAATATCGTTCACCAGCCAATAAGGCTTATGAGACACCATACACAATTTAATAACTATGTACATTTCGTTTTAGAGTAAAATATAAGAGGTAGATTTAAATGAATAACATTTTACAGGAATAGGAGTCGTCTTCTAAACATGTTATTCACAGTGGTTGATAAAATTAGCGGTGTGGGGGAGGGATCAGTTATCATCACAAAACCGCTCTGGTAGTTTGTCGTGGCAGAGTGAATGCCCATACTACCGTGACACCATTCTTCAGAACAACGTCATTCCCTTCTTTAACCAACATCAAGATCTGCACACATTCCAGCAGGACAATGCTCGAGCGCACACTGCACGGGTTGCAAACACAGTTTCTGGCAAACAACAACATTCCTCTGCTTCCATGGCCAGCATTGTCACCAGATTTGTCACCAACACCTCTCACGTCGCCCACAGATCAACAACCTTGGGGAACTTGAGAATGCCTTGCAACAAGAGTGGAAATGCATTGCCTCAAAACATTATTCAGAGATTTATCAGTTCAATGAGGAGACGTTGCACAGCTTGTGTTGCTGCTAACGGTGGTCATACACGTTACTGACTTTCCAATTTGACTCCATCATTCTTTCATGGTCAGCTGAATTATAAACTTCACTGTTTTGTTGGATTGGTTCTTGTTTCTTTTTCTTTACCAATCATTGGACTACGAAAGTATGTAATATTTACACCGATTGCTCATTTATGCTCTTGGAAATCCAAACTAATACAGGTGGTGCGTTTTCAATGATGTTCAGTAAGTAATTATTTAATGTAAAGTAAAGACTTGGGGTTAGTGAGTAAGTGAGTGAATTTATTATAACGCCACCTTTAGCAATATCAGGGCGGGGACACAAGAAAAGGCTTCACACAATGTACTCATGTGGGGTATCGAACCCGGGCCTTTGACGTGAAGAGCAAAGACTTTAACCACGAGGCTACTCCACCACCCCCTCAAGACATATGTTCTAGTACGACGGTAATCTTCACTATCTTATTCGGTGTCCAAAATATACTTATTTTAAGCTCGAACGACAGTTTTGATCTGCACGCCCTCCCTTTATAGTAATTATAATTTGAAAATAATAGAATTTTTCGGCTGAAATAACGCGTTTATTAATTGAGATCATTTATAGCATGATAAAACAGTATCTACACTTATATCTGTTCCAGTAGTGTGGGGACAATATATAGGTGGTCAGTCAGCATATAATGTACATGACTTATATAAGATGAGTCCAGATATTTTAAAACTGCTTTATCTGCACAAGCTCTTCTGCTGTTTAACGCTCGTCATTCAGCGACATTGGTTGAACGGCGAAATATCTTGTGCAGACTTTTTGAAATATCTGGAAGAGACAAGAAGAAAAGAAATACCTGACTCATCTTTTAAATGTCATATATGTGTGTGTGTGTGTGTGTGTGTCTCTATGTATATATATATATATATGCGCGCGTGCGTGTGAGTATGTATTAGAAATGGCACTCAAGTAGCTTATCAACCGGTCATTTTCGCTCAAAGTTGATATTGTTTAAACCAAATGGTTTGATGGTTTGTTTACTTGGTCATCCGTCATTCAATGACAAGAACACCATTCCACCATAATCTATGAATACCAATAAGTTTCCTATACAGTATACTAATACGAACCCATATAGCTGTATAATTCTTACCTTGTTGTTCACTAGCTGGATACCTTCCGAACACTGTCTTCAAGCATGTGGTGAGATCCCACAAGAGCAACCCGTATATCTTCTGAACATGATGGTTACTCACCTATGGGCGACACAGCTATCAACAAGTATGGTCAAGCCGATAAGCCTTTTGCAGATAACTATTTGTAAACGACAATAGCCGTCCACAAACATTAGGTTTTTGACAGTGATGAAACAATTCAAGTCACTTACTCTCACATTTTATTGATAGATAGATAGATAGATCTTTATTCATTAATACTACTAGTGTTGTTTATTATTAGGGTCGCTTATAATCCCACATAAACCAACAGATCCTTACATAAAAAATAATAATACAAAAACACAACACAAAATCAAACAACTTCTGGCAAATTTCTAAGTTCAAAAAGGCATTGTGTCGGAAAGCGCACGCTAAATATCCAAATCATTATCATCATCACATCAATCATCATCATCATTAAAATCATCATCATCATTATCATTAAAATCATCCTAGGGCTTAGCGTACCTAGGTCACTAGGATGTCAAGGATTAAAATTATAAGTACCAAGCACGGCCTAGACAGTATCTTCCTCTGCACCGTGTTTCATTATAGCATTTCCTTGATTGTCCGTCTTCCTGTGTGTCTGTTTTAAATACCTATTTATGATGTGTTATTGTCAATATTCCTGGAGAGAGGTTTCATAAGTTGTTAGAACTTGCCACCGGCCTTTTTCAGTTTGTGAATAGAATAGGTTTAAAGGCACTATATCACACGACACATCTCTAAAAATAAATGATGCATTTATCTCAATAATACTAACCATCAGCCCTCAGGGAAGCTACCATATAATTTATTCCCCAAAATTTTTGTAGAGATTATTAGAGAACAATATTAATTATATTGAAAATTTCGAAATAATAAATGCAACGTTGCATTAAATCGACTCGCGCGCCCTCTACCGGCCGAAAATTATTTCATGCGAACCCCATAGAGTTATATCCTTTTTGAGCGCTCCTAACGAATATCCTACGTACAACTTGTGATTGAAACCACTTTGGCAAACACCGCGTGCGACAGTTTTCGATGTAGGGAGCAATCGTTTACATTCCATATATGGCAAGTGTTCTCTTTGGAAGCTGTTCGCCTGGAAGTTTCATTTATTGTTTTTCAGGCAAGTCGTAGGGGATAGTACGTCTTTTCGTGCATCAACAGGAGGCTAAAGTGAGTGCACATGCTCCAATATATATAATATAGGCCAAAATATTGTCGAAAATGTGTGCCATTGTGCCTTTTAAACAAAATGTCCCCGTTGTAGTAGCATGTCTGTCTAGTTACACAACACATTATGTGCAGCGGACTGCGAGGCATGCTCGGGAATAGTCTTGAGCACACAGTGTCATTTTGAAAGTAGTCAAATGTTAAATATGTCATTTTAGGGGTTACGCTTTATCGTTAAAGTATAGATTCTTGTACTTTTGTTAGGTTGAGTCCAATCCCGGATTCGAACCCACACTCTCAGAGTAAGGCACCTAATCGCCAGCACACAAAGTCGGTTATCTGACCCGCTGAGGGTGATTTTTGAAGGGGCAGGGAAATAAATATGGTTACATGATTAAATGAGAAAGAGTTCTTTACGTTCTCCAATATTTTTGTAACATTACCGTGCCTTGAGTATTACAATAATAATACACGGTATTATCATATCATCATACTACATTTTCATAATATTAGGTGTTATATTATATTATATATAATATTATATTATGATAATTGTATAATATTATCATTTTGGGGATGGAGGAACGGAAGGAACTCTTACCATTAAATGTTATTGGAAGAATATCATTTTACGCAACAAGCACATACAAGCACACAAGCACACACACACATACATACAAACATTCATGAAGATAAGTTTGTGTCTTATCCTTCCTGGCTGGAGAACACAAATCTTATATATATATATATATATATCCCTTTAATAGCGGCCGCCATCGTCACACAACAACTGCCCTCCCTTTAGTAGCTCTAGAGCACGACCCGTGATGATCAGGGTTATAAATTAATCTTCAGTAAAAACGACTAACGTTATCGGGTTGTCAGACTCGCTGACTTGGTTGACACATGTCATCGTGTCGAATTGCTTAGATTGTTGCTCATGATGTTGACCACTGGGTTGTCTGGTCCAGACTCGATCATTTACAGATCGCCGCCATATGGCTCGAATGTTGTTGTGGGGCGTAGAACTGAACTCACTCACTCACTCTAGAGCACGTTTTTATCATACACTCACTGTAGTACCGTGCCAAATGTGCTTGGCGTGACTCTTACAAAACACAGTAGTTAAGTACTGTTTCAAGTTCTAAATAGCTTCGTCTCCTTTCAGATGGTAGAGATGGCCTTGGTCTTCATCCCTCCTTGCACGGGGCTAACCTTTGATGTTGTCATCCATAGATGGCCTTGGTCTTCATCCCTCCTTGCACAGGGCTAACCTTTGATGTTGTCATCCATATACTAATCACTGCTAATGTGCATCTGATGGACATTATTAACTGGGAGTGTGTTCCAGCTGTACACTGCACGTCAAAACAAGCACTCTGCCATGTATTTGGAAGAGTGAGTCAATGAGCTTTAGTTTTACGCCGCTTTTAGCAATATTCCAGCCATATCACGGCTGGGGACACCAACAATGGGCTTCACACATAGTACCCGGATGGGGAAATGAACCCGGGTCTTCGACGTGACGAGCAAACGCTTTAACCACTAGGTTACCCCACCATACAGTACACGTCCAAACTAGCGCTCTGCCATGTATTTGGAAGAGTGAGTCAAT